ATATATATATATATATATATATATATATATATATATATATATATATATATATATATATATATATATATATAGCCAATGACTATGATGCCGGTCTAACAGAGGTGATCTATATACACATAGCCAATGACTATTATGCCGGTCTGACAGAGGTGATCTATATACTCATAGCCAATGACTATCATGCCGGTCTAACAGAGGTGATCTATATACACATAGCCAATGACTATGATGCCGGTCTAACAGAGCTGATCGATATACACATAGCGTTTCTCAAATTACTATGATGCCGGTCTGACAGAGGTGATCTATATACTCATAGCCAATGACTATCATGCCGGTTTCACAGATGTGATCTATATACACATAACCAATGACTATGATGCCGGTCTAACAGAGCTGATCGATATACACATAGCGTTTCTCAAATTACTATGATGCCGGTCTAACAGAGGTGATCTATATACACATAGCATATCTCCAATGACTATGATACCGGTCTAACAGAGGTGATCTATATACACGTACTGTATCTCCAATGACTATGATGTCGATCTAACAGAGGTGATCTATATGCACATGCCTCCAATGAGTCGTTAATTTAAGAACAAAAAAATGGTTAAAGTAAAATAAAAATTGGCAAAAGTATCATCTTTGTTTAATTAGTTTTCCACATGAATCCTGTAAATGATAATTGACCGAACTTAAACGAACTGTTGCTATTAAATATTCTATTACCCGACTGTGTCTTTTACACTCAACGACAGCATACCCATCTCTGTTGCAAAATATAGATATTGTAATATAACTGTTTAAATAACGATTCTATCTCTCAGCACAATCATAATTATGTTTGACAATGATGGTGAAATTTGACGTTCATGAATATTGATTTGCAAATCGAAATTAAGTGAAAATCGAAATTTGGGTGGTTCGTCTGTTGCTGAACTAGATCGCTAGGTTGCCACGTCTGAACATTTCAGTTTGAATGCAGAAATGAACAAAATAAATAATTAAAACCTATAAAAGTGATCAAACAATCACTGAAATATTTTGTTTAAAGATGTTACGCTCAGAATTGTGTCTGATGTAACCACTTTCTGATATTTCTACAGTTTCCCTTCCCAAGCTATGATACTTTTTCAATCCACGCAAGAAATATTTTGTAAAATAAAATTATTTTTATTTTCTTTTGAAAACAGTCAGTAATTTGATAAAATACATCATTTTTGCATAATTTTGTAGAGGTCGCTGTCCTGAAATTTGTGTAAATTTTGGAATTACTTATGATAACTGTGGCATTGCAACCCTTACTAGCACTGACACAAAAAAAGAGACCAGAAAGCTATGACCATTGACGGTTTTTGCCGTAAATTATATATATATATATATATATATATATATATATATATATATATATATATATATATATATATATATATATATATATATATATAAACAAAGTCTACGATTGTTTCATAGAAATAAGAAAACATTTCACTCGTAAAGTGGAAGCAGTTTATACTGTTAACTGTTACCTGTTACTTCGCCACTCGTGACAATACAATGTTTCACACTTCACTCGTGAAATATTCCTTGTATCCACTCTAAAACGTATATATCCTCTTTGTATTTTAAGTTTTAATTCTTCTGATACATTTAACGTATTTTTTTTTTCAAATTGTATTTTGAAAAATAGATACAACATAATTCTATTATTTGAATCTGAATATTTGAATGATATAGCATAAACGCCATTCCAGTAAAGCAAATGAGTTTGACCTCAAGACTAGTTTCAAAGTCGCATAGTTGTCATTTCGCAAACGAAATTGTAATGCATTCAATCAAGTACAGTTTGTTTGGAAATTTTGCAAATTCCTTATTTGACTTTATCAATAATAGTCACTGAATAATTTGGAGGAAAAAAAACTGATTAAGGAAGTTGTAGAACTTAGGTATTGTGTGAAAATATATGTATGTATAGGCATTTCTTATCTTTCGATGTCTGTGTATGAGGCGTGTCCGATAACAAATACCACAAGACCCTAATTGACCATAGCATATTGCACCGGCAGATCCAAGTTTATGATTACTCCTAATACACTGTAAAAACCCAAATCTGCCAGCATATATTTAGACTCCCACTTTTCACTCAATTGTGTTCACGTACCATTCACTCAAATATTAAAACAGGCTGAACATTCTTTTATCTCAATGAAATACCAATTTTCTCCCAGACCAGTTTTCTCCCAATATACAGGTTTTATGCCATTGGTTTCCATATGTAATTTGAGTAAAAAGTGATAAATAGTACACATTAAATGTGTACTCTACAGATCAGGTATGTAGACATTTGTGAATATTTTCACTAGGTTAGACAACTCTCGTAACATCGTTCTTCGTTCATACTTGGAAAGTTGCATTAAACTGGATTTCAGACATTATTTTCTTTTAAAAAAGGAATCGAAATTATGTTTGTATTTTCGAAAGTTCTTGATACAGAGTTTCTTCTTTTAGCTGTCAACCAAGCGTTTCTCCCCCTCCCACCATCTCTCTGACTTAGCAGGCATTCGCGTTATCTTATAAGAACTTAATATAGGTCAAACAGAAGCAGTACATGGAGATGTGGTAGCTCATTTAGTAGAGAATTGGGCTCATAATTCAATGGTCGTGTATTCGATAGGGGCACAGTCTGATTCAGGTTGGTTGCCTCAGTATATTTTTCGGAAAGACACTTAGGCTTTTGTAACATGCAAAAAGTGTCATAAAACCCAACATTAAACAGTAATAACACACACCAGCTTGAGTAGGAAGAATCCATGGTTTTGGGAAAGAAATTTACCTCCAATCTTCTCGGCATTATATTGCCAATAAGAAATAGGAACAACATTTATGAAAACCAACCAACCGATAAATTTCGTCACTTGCACATGGTTTTCAAAGGAAAACGTCTCTAGATGAAAGCATGATGCAGAATCTGAGCTGTATTGTTACGTGATAAATTATTGGCCTTTTTAACATCTGCTCTTTATTTTGTTACAATTTTGCCTTGATTCTTAATTCCGGCATTAAATCCCGTAACTTAGAAGAAACTTAATGACCAAGAACGTTGCTTGAAATGAACTGAATTTTAATATTTTGCTTCGATACACACAGCTGCAAATGTTTTTGTTGGTAAATGTAACGATATGTAACGATCATGAATCAGATTGTAACCATATGACCACCTTGAATTTACTTTTCTTATTTCTAAATGAACTGTGCTGAGAACGACTTTTATCTAAACTAGAAGTAATGCGCGGAATGAGCACAATAACCATATGCTAAATACAAAAATGAAACCAAAATGAAAATAAAAGAACGGATGCAATTAATAAAAATCAAATTATAATAGTCTAATGTCCATTTCTCAGCTGTCGTCGGGGTATATACTGTCATTTGCCGAATAAAAAAGCTTAACCGCCCCGCCCCGCCCCGCCCCGCCCCGCCCCGCCCCGCCCCGCCCCGCCCCGCCCCGCCCCGTCCCGCTCCGCCCCGCATCTTACTTCACACTTAAGCATTTTAGCATCTTATTTCACACTTAAGTATTTCAGCATCTTACTTCACACTTAAGTATTTCAGCATCTTACTTCACACTTAAGTATTTCAGCATCATACTTCCCACTTAAATATTCAGCATCTTACTTCACACTCGAATAAGTAATCATTTTAATTCACACTTAAACATTTCAGCATCTTATTTCACACTTAAACATTTCAGCATCTTACTTTACACTTAAACATTTCAGCATCTTACAACACACTTAAATATTTCAGAATCTTACTTCACACTTGAACATTTCAGGATAAAAAATTCATAGTACTCTAATGTAGACGATCAGTAATTAGCTTTCATTTTTAAACGAAAATTAAAGAATTTATTGTAGTATGGAGGAATATTGCATAATAATGTTCATCATTTGTCTCTACTAATTTTGCGCGTTAGAAAACTCGAAAATTATTTCTCAGTTATATCAACTTATCCCGCGATGCGCCTCTTTCATAAAATAGGCCGTAATGTTTCAAACGATTATCAGTCAGAAAAAAATCAATAACACTTCGATTAATGTCACGACTCATTATATAAAAATTTCTAATAAATTACGCAGCTTCTGAATAATGACTACGTTAAATCAGGTTTATTGAGCCCTTTGTGTAATCGATTAATTTTCCACATAATAGCCTTTATAGATTAAAAATGGCAATGTACCATTGTCGTCATTCTTTTCTCAACAATAGGCCAAAAAAAAAGTGTTTGGTTCTGGTTACTCGGCTGACCCTATTTGTAAAATCCTATAAAACACTATTTTGGAAACAAATTAATTAACAAAGAATGTTAATTCGGCCAAAGTTTAAATCAGGGTTCAAAAGACGCTTTTTTCTTGTTAATGAATCATTTAAATCCCTGCAAATAAAAAACAAACATCTGCACCGACCTAGATAAACTAATTTCTTTTCATAGTAAACAGAAACACGCAATTCTTTTTGTTAGGCCTTCATATTTATAGAAATTTATCAAAATTAAGATAACAGGATCAAACATTTCAAGATTTTATTAAAGGATATGAATCGCCTAATGGCAAATAGAACTTTCTTTAAGATTATTAATAAATTTAATTTGGAATGTAGTTACTGGAGGGTTTTCCTCTACTATTTTTCACTTAGGTGACTTTAAACACACCTGTCTGAATGAAATTATATGTATTAATTCTTTTCGAGACTTCTTGTAACAAACCTCAAACTTCATGATCTTTTGTTCGACAATAAATTTTCCTTTCGAAAACCAAACAAATTATTTATCGAGGCAAGCAATTTGTATGAGAGAGAGAGAGAGAGAGAGAGAGAGAGAGAGAGAGAGAGAGAGAGAGAGAGAGAGAGAGAGAGAGAGAGAGAGAGAGAGAGAGAGAGAGAGAGAGAGAGTGTGTGTGTGTGTGATTTGGGTTCCATTTTATAATTCTTTGGTATTACTCGGCAGGGGTTCTAACCCGCGAACTCCCGCATCCGAGGCTGACGCTCTAACCACTAGGCCAACGGAGCTGTCTTGTATTGAAAAACGGCTTTTAGTTTTGGTACGTTGAGACCAATCTGACCTGTAGAACAAGTTGAATATGTTCGTCTGCATTATATTCCACCACACCGGTGGTCTATTTGGTTAGAGCGTTTGTGGGAGGTCGCGAGTTATAACCCCGGCCGAGTCATACCAAAGACTTATAAAAATGGTACTAACAGCTGCCTCGCTAGGCGCTCAGCATTAAGAGGTTAGTGTTAGGACTGGTCTGCCTGGTGTCAGGATAATGTGACTGGGTGGGACATCATGCTACGTGTCTGCAGCATAATGCCCCAGTGCTAGACATCACTAGAAACACACTGCATACATCGTAGCAATATGACTGAATAATTGTTAAAGCTACGTTAAAAATCCAAATCACACATACACGTACGTACGCATACATATTCCTTATCATTTCTTGCATTTTTTCTTTCTTTCTTTATGCTTTTTTCTATTTGTAACCAAATTATTAATATAATTTTGTTTTATTTGTTTCAAATTCTTGCAGTTTTCATAACCAATCAATGTGTCATAATTATTCGATATAGCATATTGAGTAATAGAGACTTCTTACAATATTCTCCTTTCTAAACGAAAATTCACCGTCATGTGCTTTGAGGGGTATAGGTATATGTTTGCATTTGGCACATTCCACCAGTATGCTGTTTACTAGATGTGCCTAATTGTTACCCTTTAGAGTATTTGGAATGACAGGATGAACCATTAATCCCATCAGTGCGTGCGTGCGTGTGTGTGTGAGGGTGGCAGTAAAAGTTTGTGATGAATAAAGAGCACATCCTTTAGATTTTGTTTACTGTAGCAATGATCTTTTTCAGATTCGCACATTGACCGTAATAGTAAAATGGTGTACCTAGCACGCACAAGGCAGATATGACAGTGTGCCCACAACCACTATGTATGTTAGCTTTAGCACAGGAGTCAGACGTTTTATCGAGAAAGTTTCTGACTACACGAAATCACCTTATCGGTACCGTAAATTAATACCGAGTGCAAGCATGACCACAACAAACCGCTCGATTCAACTTTTGTCACGCGTCTTTTATCGCTTTAGAATATCAAGAAGGCTGAAATAGCTGTACATACCCATTCAAAGGACAGTTACGTGCCATCCATAGCTCTCGGACGACCATTGCATGATTCTAATCCGGCGAATTCAGAAAGTCTTTTTACAAGACTTCGTCGCTTGAAAAACGAAAGGTCAAGTATGAAAACCGTATTATCATACGTGACCTAGATTGTGATATGCAGGGCCTCTTTAAATTCTGTTCCCTGCTTGATTAGACAAACCACGTGTTTAAAGAATTTATGTTATCCATCCTAATTTGATCTCATTGAAAATAAATAAAGCCAATGCATTAATACCTAAATGAGACTACTGGTATTAATGATTTTCATAATGCGGTCTTTACCAAATTAAGAGACACTGATCATTCTGAAACCAGGAAAGAAAAAACATCGAATAGAAATTTCAAAGATTTTCATGTGACTTACAAAGCGCTCTATTACTGCCCTATATTCCAGTGTTCACTCAGAATCTGTCAACTCTGACGACATTCATTTTGAAATGTTCTGCTAAATGTTATAGACAAACATGCTCCTATAAAACATACATACGCACGTAAAAGTTATTACCTTACATTAACAGAAATTTTAAGATAGCTAAATATGACAAGTACTTGTATTCACAAAATATACTCGGCACAAATTTTTTAATGATTGTTCGGCTGGTCAATATAATAAAATTCTTGCTGACGGCACAAAAATTGTAAACAATAATAGAAATATGCGAACTCTTTAGGAATGTTTCTGTAAATGTGGCATCAGTTATTGGTAAGAATGTTCCATTTGATCCTTGAACCCATCAGATATTGGTAAGAGTGTTCTATTTGACCCTTGCACCCATCAGATATTGGTAAGAATGTTCCATTTGACCCTTGGACCCATCATATAGTGGTAAGAATGTTCCATTTGACCCTTGCACCCATCAGATATTGGAATGAATATTCAATTTGACCATTGCACCCATCAGATATTGGTACGAATGTTCCATTTGACCCTTGAACCCATCAGATATTGGTAAGAATGTTCCATTTGACCCTTGAACCCAACAGTTATTGGTAAGAATGTTCCATTTGACCCTTGAACCCATCCGATATTGGTAAGAATGTTCCATTTGACCCTTGCACCCATCAGATATTGGTACGAATATTCCATTTGACCCTTTGTATAAAGGTCATGGTGTCAGATGTCAGACTACTTTGTTGCGTCTGATTGAAGAGTGGGGGAAGGCTCGTGATGAAAAGACATATGTAGCTGCAGTCGACCTTTGACCGTCTCCCTCATGATATTCTTATTTATATGTTAAGTGCTTATGGTAGGTTAGATGACTCAGTAAAACTCTTACTGAGCTATCTGTCCAATCGAAAGCAACAAATAAGTTGTAGGCAATCTTGATTGGTTGAACTGAGATTTAAGGGGTTCCTCATGTGTCGATTTTTGGACTGTTACGATTTAATTTTAGACATCACTATATTTTAGATGTCCCAAGAATTAGAAAAACAATATTTTGGCAAATGATCTTTTTGATATGCAAAATCCATTTTATGGAATGCGCAACCAAATCCCATTAGAAGGAATCGAGTTTTAATTCATTTACATCTTTAATTCTGTCCTGTAAAGATTGTCAATGTAATATCTGTAAATAATACTCACCCCCACCCACCCCACCACCACCACCACCACCCCCATGATAACAGCTAAATGTTTGTGCTGCAAATTACTCCCACCTGATTCTCGAATATACTTAGAAATGCTGTTATATAATAACATAATTACAAAGACTGTGCGGTCGTGAAGGGCTTACGTCAAAAAGCAAAATAACACAACTCATTTGAACAATATTTAATAACGAAGAAGAATATTCGTTACTATAACTCAAACGGACTGTGTTGATATATTCCAATAGTCCAAACAGGCTGTCTGGACACATTGCAATAGCTCAAATGGAGTGTGGCTACTTTACAATAGCCTAAAATGACTTTGTTGATACGTTTTCAATTAACTGAATATAATGGCAGATAGTTCAATAATCAAAACGTTATCATCATCTGTAATGTACAATATACAAGGAAAATTTCTGAAACGAAATGACATGCATAAAGATGCCCATCAATGCAAATAAATTAGCTGGCTAATTTATAAAATATCTCAGTAGGGAGAAATATATGTCTAAATTATTAAAGATATTTAATGGAATGTTACTGAAATCTTTGAACTTCAATCAAATATTCAGTTCCATTCGCCTTGAAAGTAGGATTATGCTAAACAGTTATATTTCCTGATTCTGTGTAGTCATCGGAATATTGCATACATGTGTAATCACAAGAAATATTACATAAAATGTGTAAGAAATCAGAATGAATGCTAATGTAAGACAAGCAAAAATTTGAACGCATATTAAAGACAGGAATGATTGCTGATGTGAAGTGGTCGATGTATTTAAATTAGCTGACTCAACATCTAAACGGAAACAATGAACCAGACAACAAAGGCATGACTAACATTTCCGGTAATGATTCAGCAACTACCAACTCTTCACATGAACACGAGTGAGTACTTGTTTGTTTTTAGTACAAGACCTAATTATGCATCAAGTTATATACCATTAGAACCAAATGAAATGTTCGTATTGATTATAAGGACATGTAATTGCAGACAATAATTTCCTTTATCAAATATGACGTGCAAATATGAAACTAAATGTAAAAGGTGAAGTTGAATATATTCTTCATGGAATGTTATGACAATTGGTTTAAATTGAGTTTCCATATTTGTTTTCTTCTTCAGTGGTTCTAACATTTATGCAGTCTTGAGCCTTCCTGGGCGTTTAATTCAAAAAAGTATAGCTTAGCATGTTCTTGACGATATCCTCCGTATGCTTATCTACATTGAGATAATGTCATCAAACTAAAGGATGAAAATCACATTTGTTTCTTTCAGGCATGGACAGGCACAGATAATTATCATCTTTTTGGCGGCTAATGAAGAAACCACAAGGAAGGTTGTCTAAATACCTACAAATCGGTCAGGAATCTCAAAAGAAGGAATGGGTCAGATGCCACTATTATCAGGATGGACTCACTAGTTTACCAAGGAAAACCGCGGATGTTGCAGATACAGAGACTAAGGATCGGATTTGGACAAGAGCACAATTTTCAGTGCGAAAACGACTATAGTAAAATAAAATATTTATACTGAACGAACAAGACCTTTTATACACAAACCTCTTTAGAAAAAAAGTCAAAATCCGTCTCAGACTGAGCGCGCGCTGAATATGCTCGAATTACGACCCAAGAGCTTAGTACGTTCCCAAAACGAGGCTAAATCCTGTTCATAGAAGAGTTTTGCTTTAAATGTTGGATACATATTGTAGCCCACGGAACATTATGGTCAGTTTTATATAACTATTGTAGCCCACGGAACAATATAGTCAGTTTTGTATAACTATTGTAGCCCACGGAACAATATAGTAATTTTTTTCGCTGAAAAGTAGATCACTTGTGATCAGGACAATGTGCATTTTGAAACAACTTTGACTCAGTGTGCGACGGGTATGCATGAATTTCACTCAGATTCTATTTTTTATCAAATATGTCACTTAAAATACATTAATAACCAATTTTCACAGACATGGAATGGTAAATTAGAACCCAAAAGAGTATTGTCATAGATTGCTGGAAGTTTTGTTGCTATTCACGAACGATATTATAAAAGTTTCAAAATTAAATGGCGATGTGCCCCACAAGCTGCAATAGTACTGTTGCTCAATAGTAATTTCTCTGATTTAAGGTTTTTATATTTATAGTTATAGTATTACAGACTGATAGATAAACTCCTTTTACGCATTTAGTATTGATTATGGCTGCTTTATATGCTGTAACAAAATAGGTTCCATGTATGGCTGCTTG